GCTGCTGTGTGTGTGTGTGTGGTAGCCTATTCGTTCGAAATGCTTGGAGCCCCGAAGAGCGTGCTCTTCGCCAGGGCCACCGCCTCCCTTGGGTAGCGGGTGAGGCAGTCCAACCTCCCTGAATCCTCCCCAAAGAGATGCCACCGCCGGACCTCCGTGGCGAGGCGTCTCTTCAGCTACTGCTCCAATTCTGCTGTTGTTGTTATTGTTATTATTGTCCTCGTCGTCTTCGTTGTTGTTGTTGTTGTTGTTATTAGCGAAGAAATTTTTCGCTTTGCTGTTGCTCAAGAAATCGCCACCTCTTGGAATTCGAACTCATATCCTCATGGAGCATGGTGAAGTTCCTCACAACTGTACCATGTCAATACCTCTTGCTTGTCTGGTCTATTCCGAAATTATTTTTTTAAAATCCAAAAACAGAAATTTTTCGTTGTAGATAATCTTCTTTTACTTTTACGGTACCACCATAATTATTAGGCTTGTTGACATTTATTCTTTTTTGTGTTCATGGTTGAAGGGTGGCACTGGTAGGTCCTACTTCTTCTCTTTAGCTGTGTTGTTTCTGGCGATCTATGTTTCTTGTTTCCTGCACTATATGGCCGTTATTGTGTTGATTTACTTGTCTTTCTTTTTTTAAAACATGATATATAAATCGTGGCTAGGAGAACTGTAAAATGGAATCCTCAAGGAAGGTGGAAGAGAGGGAGGCCGAGGTCCACCTGGAAGCGAAATCCAAAGGCAGATCTCAGGCATACGGGGCACAGCTGCTCTGGAAGTAGAGAAGCAGGTGGTTGGCGGGTGGTCTGGTGTGGTCTGCTTCATCTTTCCTGTGAAACAGCAATCGCCCTTATCTCCACTCCTTCTTTTTTGTGCATTTGTTAATCTCTAATTGTAACATCTCTCATCTTCGGTAGATCTACTTATATGACCGTATTGTGTTACAAATGCCATAACACTTTTATTAAAAGATCTTTTTTTAAATGTATTTGCTGCTCTCGTGTGATATCTATCATCTTCGCCACTTGTATGACCGTATTATGTTGCAAGTGCCGTAAAACACGCACCAAAATAAAAGAAGGCGAGACCGGTGGAGAGTTCTCCTTGGCGCCCTGTACCCAATATCAACGAGAAAAACACAGACAGAGATGTCTAGACTAGACCTCTGGAGGCTTTTTTTCGAAGGTCACTGTTCTTCATCCATAAATGTTGTTTCTATTTATAGCCACCACCTCGTTGCCTGCTGTAGGAAGAGGTTTGGCCCGAAGTGGAGCAGGGGC